CCTAATAGTGGATTTTCTTTATTGTGCTATAAAAAAAAAAAAATCTGCCATTCCAGTTGATTTCCCCCAACTGTGTGCAGTTTTATGCATCATTTGTGGATAATAAACACACAAATGCACAGACACGATTTAGCTTTAGAGTAATTCTACACTGTTCTTGATTGATTTTCCCCTATCATTACAGTGATAGACTAAAAAGAGTTAATAGAACTGTATGTGTGGACTCCACAGTCAGGCAAGCAGGCTGAGGTTTTGTTTAAAAAAAAAGACCACCATGTAGAACCATGCATTGTTTTAATTAAATAAATAACATGATTATATTACAGCCTTATGACATGATTATATTACAGCCCTCTGTACCTCCCGCAGTAAGTAAATGAGAGGATGTCAGCCCACACCATATCTCAGCTAATTGACTATTGACCTTGGCTGCACTGTCGTTACTGCATGACAAACCATTCATCTTAGCACAGATACTGTTCTGTGTCAAGAGTGGGGGATGTTCTATTTAAAGGGGAAGCCCACCGACTTCTCAAAGTTTTTACACAGTCAAATGGATAAGATGTAAACAGAGTCATTCAGGGTGGTCTGGTGTGAAACACTCTGTTCTAGAGAAAAGGTACCACTTTGGAATAAGGCTACCCTTATAAAGCGTTTATAAGCAATTTTAATTAATTAGTTTATCAATTGTTATTAGTTAGGTCATAAACACCTTAAAAAGCATGAATAAACAGTTATAACACATGAATAAAAAGGGCAAAAGTGAGCCGCTATATTTGATGAATATGAATATGAGATAAAGCTGACAGGCTCAGTGCTGACTAATGAAGATCAGTAACCAGCAACATCTGAGCTTTCACAGCATAGACGAATGTGTTTACTGGTGTTTCCCTTTTTATTTATGTGCTGTAACTGCTTAGTGACTTTTAAGGTGTGTATAAATTGATTAATTACCATTAATAAACTATTTTTAAACCATTCATAAACACTTTATAAGGGTAGTCTTATTCTAAAGTGGTACCAGAGAAATTTAAAGAGTCAGAATTATTCTCAGTGGTGGTGATAGGAACCAGATGTCCACCTCTAAAAGCTCCCTCACAGAAAGTTACTACATGAAATGGTTATGAATTCACTGCCTGATGACTGAGACACTGTTTTATGATAGGTTTTGTTTTAATCAATTTATTTTAGTCTGTTTGTGAGCCAAAATAGTCCCAATGGAAACTGATTTTTTGAGATTTTCCACTATTTTACCATCAACCACATCACATATGAACATTTAGAAGACTTGTGCAGGTTCACTGGTGGTTTTGGATAGTAAATAAAATGGTAGTATTTGTGTTGTAGACATGGCGACCCCTGGTTCCTATCACCACCACCGTAAAGAAAACAATGTAAAGAGTCTCTACATTGAACCACTTCACACCAAACCACTCTGTTTACTCTTTGTTTACATCTCAACCAGTGAATTATATAGACATTTGAAAAATCGGTGGAATTTCCCTTTAAACAAACTGATATTCATGAGTTTAGTGAATGTGATCAGCTGTCCAGCATGCATTCAAATGTAATAAAGGGTAGAAGAGGGTAGAAAACAGAAAATAAACAAGACAAAGCTGTAGAAGAAGAAAGAATTAACGCTGTCCAGTCGTCACTGAACCTGACCCAGTTTTGTTCCCTGCCAAGAAGTGGGACAAAAACAGACAGCGTGGATGAAGTTCGCGCTGCGCACCTCACCTCATTACGGGAGCCACATGTTTATTATAGCAGGATATGGCATTAGGAGAGAGCAGTGCTGAGAAGAGAGCACTCCTAAGAAAGATGGTTCTTCAAGGGTTCTTTAGTAAAGACAGAGGTTCTATATAGAACCATGAACTCTCAAAGAACTGTTTACATGCTAAAATAGTTCTTTGCATGGTGAAATGGCCTTTAGATTGATGGAGAATGTGTTGTACCTATATAGTTCTATATAGAACCTTTTTTGAAAATGGTTCTACATAGCACCAAAATGGGTTCTGCTGGTGTTACAATGTCTGTCCTGCTGTATCCAAGCTTGACATTGTAACAATAGCAGAGCCTGTTTTGGTGCTTCCATAGAACCATTTTCAAAAAGTTTCTATATAGAACCAAATACATCAATCTGAAGAACCACAGTGGTTCTGTTTAGAACTATGAACGCTCAAAGAACCATTCGCCTTCTTAAATGTTTTTTGAGTGTTCATAGCTCTAAACAGAACCACTGCCTTTACTAAAGAACCCCCAAAGAACCATCTTGTATAAGAGAGTGTGGCTATATGGTTCTATATAGAACCTTTTTGAAAATGGTTGTATAGAGCACCAAAAAGGGTTCTGCTAGTGTTACAATGTCTGTTCTGCTGTATCCAAGCTTGACATTGTAACAATAGCAGAGCCTGTTTTGGTGCTTCCATAGAACCATTTTCAAAAAGGTTCTATCTAGAACCATATACATCTCCATCAATCTGAAGAACCACAGTTGTTCTGTTTAGAACTATGAGCACTCAAAGAACCATTCGCCTTCTTAAATGTTTTTTGAGTGCTCATAACTCTAAACAGAACCACTGTCTTTACTACAGAACCCCCAAAGAAGCACCTTGTTTAAGAGTGGAGCTATATGGTTCTATTTAGAACCTTTTTGAAAATGGTTGTATATAGTACCAAAATGGGTTCTGCTAGTGTTACAATGTCAAGTCTGGATACAACAGAAGGACACTTCTTGGTGCTACACAAAACCATTTTCAAAAAGGTTCTATCTAGAACCATATACATCTCCATCAATCTGAAGAGCCATTTTCAAAGAACCATTTAAGAAGGCGAATGGTTCTTTGAGTGTTCATAGTTCTAAATAGAACCACTGTCTTTACTAAAGAACTCCCAAAGAACCACCTTGTTTAAGAGTGGAGCTATACGGTTCTATTTAGAACCTTTTTGAAAATTGTTGTATATAGCACCAGAAAGGGCTCTGCTAGTGTTACAATGTCAAGCTTGGATACAACAGAAGAACACTTTTTGGGGCTACATAGAACCATTTTCAAAAAGGTTCTATGTAGAACCATATACATCTCCATCAATCTGAAGAACCATTTGCAAAGAACCATTTAAGCATGCAAATAGTTCTTCGAGTGTTCATGGTTCTAAATAGAACCACTGTCTTTACTAAAGAACCCCTGAAGAACCATCTTTTTTTTTTAAGAGTGTAGCTCTATGGTTCTACATTGAACTATTTTGAAAATGGTTCTATAAAGCACCAAAAAAGGTTCTGTTAATGTTACAATGTCAAGCTTGTATACAACAGAAGAACATCTTTTGGTGCTACATAGAACCATTTTTAAAAAAAAGGTTCTGTGCATCTAAGCATGCAAATAGCTCTTTTAGTGTTCATGGTTCTAAACAGAACCATTGTCTTTACTAAACAACCCCTGAAGAACCATCTTTTTAAGAGTGCAGCTATATACAACACTTTCTCCATCACTCTTAAAAAGATGGTTCTTCAGGGGTTCTTTGGTAAAGACAATGAACCATGAACACTCAAAACAGAACCATTGTCTTTACTAAACAGAACCATTGTCTTCACTAAAGAACCCCTGAAGAGCCATCTTTTTAAGAGTGCAGTTATATGGAGAACCATATACAACACTTTCTCCATCACTCTACAGAGCCATTTCACCATGCAAAGAACCTTTTAAGCATGTAGAGGGTTCTGTTTAGAATCAGCACCCTTGAAGAACCATCTTCTTTTAAGAGAGAGAAAGAGAGAGAGAGAGAGAGACGCAGGCAGCCTAAAGGCCACAGCAAAGCCCCTGTTTAACTCACCCCGTCCCGCAGTCTATCACGCAGGGAGGTAAGCGCACTGCCATGTCCTGAACCAGCTCCCCAAACACGACCAGCCTCCGCTCAGACCGCTGCGCTCTGCTCTCTCACTCCGCCACCGCAGCGGCTGCAGGGGGGTTGTTTACCTTCACCGCGGAGGAGCACTAACGCTGCCTTATAAGCCCAGAGCCCTCTTTATTATTTCTTTATTTTTCCGAGAGAGAGGGGGAGAGTACTTCCCGAGTAAAGGGCGAGGGGAAAAAATAGAAACATGCTGGCTGAACCCAGCTTCCTATTCGCCAGCTCCTTCTTCGAATTTTCCCGTTCCACCTTAAATGTTACAGCAGTTTAGAGCGAGCCGCCTCAGGCTCCAGAATATAACTGCTCACCATTTAAGGTGGAACGGGAAAATTCGAACGAGGAGCTGCCGAAATGGCCCGATAAAAACAAAACACAGACCATTTTTAGTTCTTTTTTGTTCCAGTCAGCAGTATAATGGGACATCTGCACGTTTTTTGTGTCTGTAAAATACCGTGTATGAGCCAAAACGTTACCACAACAACATGTGAATTCAGTGTTTGCTAACGTTAGTTTACTTGTTCTTCTCCAACCACCAGGAGGCAGTCTATCACCACTGCGCCGCTGGGAGAGGTCAAAAATGACCTTTTCTCATGTTAGCCGTTGTTTTATTGGATAAAAAGAGCTGGACATATAAATAATTATGATAATGGTCCGTTGGATACAATACATAACAGTCATGTGTGGGCAATGTAGCTTTAGCATACTTAGCATAAGGAACCCACTGAAGACGTTCAGTCCTATCTGTCAACATTTTGAAACCACTCATATTATTTTATATATGTGTATATAAAGTGAAATATAGGTGAAATAAATATTTTTCGTACAAGGTCCGTCGCCGTTCTATAATTCTACAAGAAGCTTTGGGTTATATGTATATATAGAATAATTGTTTGTGCCAGATCCGTCTCCTCTCTGTATATTTTTAACTAATTGTTTATTTATTTTAATTTTTTTTCTCAACATTCAAAATTGAAATCAATTGTTGGACGCCTTCTAAAAATTTAGTGGAGCGTTGGGTTAAGGGCTTCAATTTTGACGAGTTGTGTGTAGTATGCCCTGAAGGACAAGTATGGTTGTTTATGGTTGTAAAATATATATATTAAAAAAATAATAATAACTATATGATTTTTGTGCCAGGTCCATCGCTTCTCTGTATATTTTTAATTCATTGTTTGTTTATTTATTTATTTATTTTTTTCACAACGTTCAAAATTGAAATCAAATGTTCGACCCCTTCTAGAAATTTAGCGGAGTGCTGAGTTAAGGGCTTTTATTTTGACAGTATGCCCGGAAGCAGAAGTGTGTTTGTTTTTTGCGCGGTAACTGAAAGAGTGCGGAGAGGAGACGAGCTGGGAGAGATGAAGGAGAGATGACGGAGAGGGTGAGGATGGCGGAGACTGGAGCTCAGGTACCTGATTTTACACCGCACTGACTGGATTTAACAGAGTGGAGTCTCTAAATGAACCAGACAGCGTCAGCAGCAAACGCCGAACCTGTTCAGTACAGAGAGAGAGAAACAGAGAGAGAGAGAGAGAGAGAGAAACAGAGAGAGAGGGAGAGAAACAGAGAGGACGGAGAGAAACAGACAGCGAGAGAGGGAGAGAAACAGAGAGAGAGGGAGAGACGGAGAGAAACAGGGACAGCGAGAGAGGGGGAGAGAAACAGAGAACGAGAGAGGGGGAGAGAAACAGAGAGGGGGAGAGAGAAACAGAACGAGAGAGGGGGAGAGAAACAGAGACAGAGAGAGGGGGGAAGAGAAACAGACAGCGAGAGAGAGGGAGAGAAACAGACAGAGAGAGAGGGGAAGAGAAACAGACAGCGAGAGAGAGGGAGAGAAACAGAGACAGCGAGAGAGATGGAGAGAAACAGACAGCGAGAGAGATGGAGAGAAACAGAGACAGCGAGAGAGAGGGAGAGAAACAGACAGCGAGAGAGAGGGAGAGAAACAGACAGAGAGAGGGGGAGAGAAACAGACAGCGAGAGAGAGGGAGAGAAACAGACAGCGAGAGAGAGGGAGAGAAACAGACAGAGAGAGGGGGAGAGAAACAGACAGCGAGAGAGATGGAGAGAAACAGACAGCGAGAGAGATGGAGAGAAACAGACAGCGAGAGAGATGGAGAGAAACAGAGACAGCGAGAGAGAGAGGGAGAGAAACAGACAGCGAGAGAGATGGAGAGAAACAGAGACAGCGAGAGAGAGGGAGAGAAACAGACAGCGAGAGAGATGGAGAGAAACAGACAGCGAGAGAGGGGGAGAGAAACAGACAGAGAGAGGGGGAGAGAAACAGACAGCGAGAGAGAGGGAGAGAAACAGACAGAGAGAGAGGGGGAGAGAAACAGAGACAGAGAGAGAGGGGAAGAGAAACAGACAGCGAGAGAGGGGGAGAGAAACAGACAGCGAGAGAGAGGGAGAGAAACAGACAGCGAGAGAGGGGGAGAGAAAAAGAGACAGAGAGAGGGGAAGAGAAACAGAAGAGAAGAAGAAAAGAGAGAGACAGAATGACAGAGAAATAAAATTAAGGAAAAAGAAAAAAGAGAGAGAGGAGGAACATGACTAATGGACAGTCCTCACTTCATGCTTAAAGGGCGACTCCACCGATTTTTTTTAATCTCTCCATAATTGAATAGTTCAGATGTAAACAAAGTCGTTCAGAGTGGTTTTTGGTGTGAAGTGCTCCATTCTGGAGAAAGGCTCCATTCACATTACCAGGCTGAAGTGGCACGAATCCTAATGTGACTCAGATCTGATGTTTTCAGGTCTGTGTGGATGCAAATCTGATCTTTTCAAATCCGACCTGAGTCACTTTCATATATGGTCCTAGATCGGCTACGTATCTGATCCGTGGCCATGCGACCTCAATGTGACACTCAGATTGGAATTCATGTGCTTTTTCTCCACTGTGCGTGCGCCATCATTCAGCGTTACCATGGCAGCAGCGCCGAACAGAAGTTAAACCCTGTAAACGGTGGAAAAGCAGCTCATCTCACCTTTTTCTCCTTCGTCTCGCTCTAATAGTGAAGCTGAGAGCTGATCAGAGTTAATGATCTTCTCAGCGAAGCTCGTTCTGCTCGTTAGTTTGTGCTGATGATGCACTGATTCATTCACGTGACGTTACTGAGTAGGATGAGCTCATGCGGGTCATTCAGGACGCCGGTTCGTCATATTATTGACAGATTTGAATCACTTACCTAAACGAGTGTGAAACATCGTGTCAGAGATCGGATTTGAGCAAAAAATCGGATTTGAACAATGAGGCTTGTAATGTGAACATAGCTAAACAGTGGTGGTGATAGGAACCAGATGTCCACCTCTAAAAGCTCCCTCACAGAAAGTTATTACACTAAATGGTTATGAATTCACTGCCTGATGCCTGAGACACTTTTTTAAGACAGTTTTGTGGTAAAGTTTTGGCCTAACACATACTTTTTTTGATGTTCCACTATTATACCATCATTAATATTACATATATAAACTCAGAAGACTCGTGTAGGTTCACTGGTGGCGAGTTTAATCAGGGAAGTTAAACGTGGGAAAACACAAAACCCTCAACTGTGCAGTTCCCCTCCAACACTGCAGGAGTATGCAGTTGCTGTTGTGATACAACCTTGTATCTCTGAAATATCAACTTTATGTGAGAAGGAAAAACATTCCTAAAATGGATTTTCTCCCATTTTTCAAAATCTCTGCATAATAAAAACCATTACGAGAGTCATTCAGAGTGGTTTGGTGTGAAACGCTCTGTTCTAGAGAAACTTACAGAGTCAGAACTGTTCACAGTGGTGGAGATAGGAACCAGGCGTCTGAGGACGTCTCTAAAATCTCTCTGCTTGATGTCTTAGACCTTGTTTTATCATAGCTTTGAGAGCAAGTTTTGGCCTAAAACATTCACTGTGGAGGGGTACAGGCAGGGCGTCGTCAGGCAAAATAGTCCCCAAAGAAAACTTATTTTTTCAGATTTTCCACTATTTTACCATCATAAACATCATCAATAAACACTCAGAAGACTCGTGTAGGTTCACTGGTGGTTTTAGATAGTAAATAAAATGTCTATATTAGTGTTGTAGACTGTGACCCCTGGTTCCTATCAGCACCACTGTAAAGACATCTGGGTCAGTAAGTTTCTCTACAGTGAACCATTTCACACCAAACCACTCTGAATGACGGTTTTACACCTCAAACATTTAATTAAGCAGAAATTTTGAAAAATGCATCCAAATTACTGAGACATCCTGCTCTGTACATTACCAGCCAGATTTATTCATGGGTTTTATTTGGCTTGGGTTGTTCTGCAAGTGTCCAGCATGGCCTTAAGTTTTGTTTAAATAGAGTACAATGAATGGAGAACTGAAAAAGGTTCTATACAGCACCAGAAATGGTTCTTCTATTGTTACAATGTCAATCTTGTTACAGTAGAAGAACTCTTTTCAAAAACAGCACATTCTCCATCAATCTGAAGAACCCTTTCACGATGCCAAGAACCCTTTAATCACACAAAGGGTTCTTTGAGTGTTCATAGCTCCATTTAGAACCATTTTTTTTACTAAAGAACCCTTGAAGAATCTTTTTTAAGTCTGAGTAGACACAGGTATGTCACCACTCTCACTCTTAGAGCTGGGCGACATGGCAAAAATGCAAATATCGCAATACTTGTGAGTTTTCACGATACACGATATGTCACCAGATTTATTTTTCTAACATCTGATAAGCTGGAACAGATGAAGTAATGCCATTTAAACAGTACTACCAAAAACGATGAATCCAGTCATTTTTATTCAATATTTCACACACTTTGCTGCACTTAATCCAATTAAACAGGACTAATTGTGCTCTCTTATCATTCAAACATGCAGTTAGGGAGTGATTAAGTACCGACTCAGGAAAGCTTATTGTAATTTATCACAATAATGATAAATATTGCCATGTTGCCCAACTCTGCTCACTCTTATGTGTTTCTGAAGAACTTTCTGGTTGAACACTTAATTGAATGTTTGCTTTTTTTTTTATCTTGTCACCACATCTTGACCCTCACCGCCTCGGAGACCAAATCAAACGCTGTTTCTTAATCATCCTGTATTTTTTTTTGTGTATGTATGTCCTTCTAGAAGGTCTCTCTTGTGTAAGGTAGAAAAGGAAATAGTAGATATTTATTTCTATGGTTCTACACAAGTTTTGAGATACTTTTTAACGTGCAGAAATCTGAACAGTTGGATCCAGTGTGGTAAATTAGGGTTTTTTTTGTATAATAGCCACATGCATTACCAAACGCAGCCATTCTGTTTATTTTGTTAGAAGTAGAATCTGATGTTTATTTAGGTGACAGTCAATGATGTTCTATGCATTTGAGGATAGTATTGGATTTCAGTGATTTCAAAGGATTTCACTGTCCAGTACACGACACGCATAGCAGAAAGGGTTCTACATAGTGCACACTTTAAAATAATGGTTCTTCAAGGGTTCTTTAGTAAAGACAAAGGTTCTATATAGAACCGTTAACATTCAAAGAACCGCCTGCATGCTGAAAGGGTCCTTTGCATGGTGAAATAGTTCTTCAGATTGGTGAACAATGTGCTGTAGATGGTTCTATATGGAACTTGCTATATAGTACCCAAAAGGGTTCTTCTATTGTGACAATGTCAAGCTTGTAACAGTAGAACACCACTTTTTGGTGCTAAATAGAACAGAATACAGAATGTATAGCTTATAAGTCAATTTATAGTCTTTGCATTTTTCCATAAACTCTCATAAATCAAACTACAGCACTAAAAATATCATATTTTTTTAAGTGAAATTGAGACCCTCATCAACATGTCTTTATGAGTCCCCTCCGTTTTAATGAGTTGTAAAATAGAAACATGTTAAATTTCACTTTTGTCAATTTTAGATTGTGATTATATTATTATAATTTTTTAAAAATTATTATTATTATTATTAGATTATGTGATCCAGAACTAATCATCCAACATCAGTACCTGACCTCACTAATGCTCTTGTGGCTGAATGCAATCAAATCCTCACAGCAATGTTCCAACATCTAGTGAGAAGCCCTCCCAGACGAGTAGAGGCTGTTACTGCAGCAATGAGGGACTTTTAACTCCCTTGATTTTTAGAAAAACGTTGAATAAACAGGTGAAAACAAACGTCTGGACAGACACTGTAGTGAAGGGACCGAGGCCTGTTTAGATGCTGTTCTTCTCTTTGTGGTTCTGGTCCATAAAGAGCTCATAGACGAGCTGTGTTTGCCCATCAGACAGTCACTTAGCTAACAGTTCGCCTGAACTGGTGTCAGATTGTCGCTAAATGTTTTCAGTCGGGGGTGTGAAGCTCAGGTCTTCAGGGGCTCATTCACAGCTATTAGCCAGAGTTTTATGTCCTCTAACAGGGAATGCAGCTCATGAAGGCCTACATGGGGCTTAGCTGATGAGTTGAACCTGGACTGTTAAATGTAGTGCTAAGCTCTGCACTGCTTATACGAACTCATATATAGACCCTTTTCGTCTCGCAGTATTTCAGCATAGAACCGGCTCGGCTCTAGAGCCTTAGTTCTAGCAAGCTGCTGCAACTTAATCATGCGTTTCATATCATCCACAGCTATTGGCCAGAGTTGCGGGGCGACAGTCGCTGAAAGACATTGATCAGCATGTTTTTCCTGAAGACGGTGGACCAGCACAAGGTAATGATTCAGCCTCTTATCACTGTATACAATGATACAGTAAAAGTTTGGGCACCCCTGGCCAAATGACGTTTTGTTGACTAAGTGAAAGTAGGTCACACTTCCTCTACTGAGACATACTTCTGCACATTTTAGTGCACGGTTACTGTTTATTTACTGAATTTCATAAGCTAAAATTAAGACATGAAATGTGGCCTGTGCAAAAGTTACGGCGCATTTTATATTTCATGTTTTCTCTTTTTTCTTGTTTGTTAAACTTAAGTTTGCAGAAAAAATGGTATATTTAAGTGTGTTCTAGTTTAGTTAGAAAATCAACAAAATGCCAAGTAACTAAGGAGTATTCAAACCTTTGCATACGGCTGTATGTCGCTGTCGTCAGAAGAAATCCTCGTATCTCCATTCTTGACGTTTTCCAGTTTTCGACATAATTTGAAAATATCTGTTACCCTTTACATTGTATGTAAATTTCATGATGAATGGGCTAAAAGAAATGAACTAAATGACTTGGAAAAAATTCTGGTTCCATTGACTTACATTAAAAGTAAAGTAGGTTTTTTCCTTCTCCTGTAAAGTTATTTTGGAGATACAAGATTTTCTTCCTACAACAGCGATATATTGTTGCTATCATAACAAAAAAGCCTCGTCCATTTTATACTTTTTCCAACGTCTAGTGTATTTTCACTTCGGTGTTTCACTGCTACCCATATGGAAAAAAAAGATATTCCACACGTATTTATCAAATATATTTTGCCATATTTTGTATGAAAATGGCCAAAAATGTATTTGATAAATATATTTTTAAAATGCCCTTATTTATATTTCTTATTGTATGTTTTTCAATTGTAAGTAATTCTAATGAGGTTTACATAGACCTAAATATTCACTAACTGAATGAACAGTACTGACTTCTGTGTTTTGTACTTTGCATTTAAAAAAAAATATTTCACAAAAAATATATTCTACAATATATTCACCATATATTACATATATTCCAAAATGTATTCTATGTGTATTTATCAAAGATATATATAAATAATTTTTATATGTAAATTATTTTAGATATTTTATTAAAAATATATATTTATTTCTACATATATATATATATATATATATATATATATATATATATATTATTGAACATTTTTCAAACTCGGAAAAAATATATATATATATATATATATATATATATATATATATATGTGTATATATATATATATATATATATATATATATATATATATATATATATATTCCGAGTTTGAAAAATGTTTATTTATTAAATATATTTTCCAAAAGCATTTTTAAATGTATTTTCCAAATATATTCATCAAATATATTTTTGCAATGTATGAAAATGGCCAAAAGATGTTTTTGTTAAATATTTTTTAAAATGCCATTATTTATATTTCTTATTGATTTTTTTCACAATATGTATTTTTAACAAAGGTTACGGATAGAACTAAACACACATGAGCTGAATGAATATTTCTGTGTTTTGCCTAGTACTGTGCATTAATCATGTACGTATGCAGTAAGACACACACACACAATGTCTTTCAAACAAACAAGATATCAAATCATAACTGCATTTTCTCTGTCAATATCAATACACTTGATTTTGTCATGTTAAAGGTTCATTTACCAATATTTAAAATTAAGATACTGGAGTACAAACTCATTTCAAAAGGCATCAGTCAGTAAAGCGCATTATATGATATTTTGGCTATTTTCACACATTTTCAAATATATCTGATGAATACATTTATTTTTCTATGGTTCATTTCTATGTTTAATATTTTCCCACAAGAAATGAATGTGTTTTAAAATATATTTGGTTAATGTGGCAAAATATTCTGAAATACATTTATAGTGTTTGGAATGTATTTCAAATATTTAAAAATACATCTCCATGTTTTTTTCCATAAGGGTGATGATAGCAGTGTGATTGAAACTGGAACGTTTGCCTTTTAAAAAACAAATGTACACTTTCTTTTTGCGTCCAGGTGATGTTGTGGAGTTTCACGGAGTTGAGGGCAGCGGAAAGACTGAGATGCTGTATCACTTTATGACCCACTGCGTCCTCCCCAAGGACAGCGGGGGGCTGGAAGTGGAGGTGGTCTTTATAGACACAGACTACCACTTCGACATGCTGAGGCTGGTGAGCGTCCTGGAGGCCCGCTTGACCCCGGCGGCCGAAGAGAACGCCGACGGCCCTGAGAGCGAGACGGAGGAGGCGGTGCGCTCCTGCCTGCGGCGGCTCTCCGTCGTCCACTGCTCCAGCTCCGTCCAGCTGCTCCTCACGCTGCACTACCTGGAGGGCACGTTCTGCAGCCGGCCCGCTCTCTGCCTGCTGGTCATAGACAGCATCTCCGCCTTCTACTGGGTGGACCGCAGCAGCGGGGGCGAGAGTTTGGCCCGGCGGGAGGCTAACCTGAGGAAATGCGCCGAGCTGCTGAATAAGTTCCGCAGAGACTACGGCATTGTGGTTTTTGCCACTACGCATGCTATTATGAGGAACTACTCGTCTGCGGCCAGCTCCATGCCGCATGGGTCATCAGAAGCGAGCGGCTCCACTCATTCCTGGAAGAACGTTACGGACTTCGACAAGCCGTATCTTTGCAGAACGTGGCAAAGGATCCTGACACAGAGACTGGTGTTCTTGAAAAGCAAGCAAAGTCCTGTGGATCAAAAGCAGGTTTTCACTGTTGCGTGTAGCACAATAAGGACAAAAGATGTTAAAAAATGCATGTTTTATATCACAGAAGAGGGGATTAAGTTTATTGAAGGGCAGTGAATGAGTGTTTACTGTCAGTGTCATGTTAAAATCTTGCGTAGAGATTATTTGCATTTTATTTTATTCCACTTTTTAACACCTTTTGAAAACATCCTTTGGCCTTTACGCTGTGCACACAGTTCATGGTGAATAGACGAACAGAAATGCCCCAAAATGACCTACAATAAAATCTTGTTGCAATAAAGTTAAAGGGGAATTTCACTGATTTTTCAAAAATTCAGTGGTTGAGATGTAAACAAAGCCATTCAGAGTGGTTTGGTGTGAAATGGTCTTTACAGTGGTGCTGATAGGAACCAGGGGTCACAGTCTACAACACTAATATAGACATTTTATTTACTATCTAAAACCACCAGTGAACCTACACGAGTCTTCTGAGTGTTTATTGATGATGTTTATGATGGTAAAATAGTGGAAAATCTGAAAAAATAAGTTTTCTTTGGGGACTATTTTGCCTGACGACGCCCTGCCTGTACCCCTCCACAGTGAATGTTTTAGGCCAAAACTTGCTCTCAAAGCTATGATAAAACAAGGTCTAAGACATCAAGCAGAGAGATTTTAGAGACGTCCTCAGACGCCTGGTTCCTATCGCCACCACTGTGAACAGTTCTGACTCGGTAAGTTTCTCTAGAACAGAGCGTTTCACACCAAACCACTCTGGATGACACTCGTAATGGTTTTTATTATGCAGAGATTTTGAAAAATGGGAGAAAATCCATTTTAGGAATGTTTTTCCTTCTCACATAAAGTTGATATTTCAGAGATACAAGGTTGTATCACAACAGCAACTGCATACTCCTGCAGTATTGGAGGGGAACTGCACAGTTGAGGGTTTTGTGTTTTCCCAGGTTTAACCTCCCTGATTAAACCCATCTGTGATTTATCAAGCGATTCAGATAAGCTGGAAAATGGAAAACTCTAAAATCTGTGATTCAGACTTGTAGGAAGTGCTTTTGGCACTCATGACTGCCCTGTACAGACCGCTGGAAGGGATTTGTCATTATTATAGGGACACCATGCTGCCCCACTGTGAAAGTCTACAGGTCCTCAGGAGTGAGATTAAAACTCACGTCTTTAGATCTAGAGGTCACTGTGATGTCTCAACACTCTTCATTTGCATATTTTAAACCAAATTTTCTGTATCTATAAATATTTTCACTGGTCATTGTATTATTTTGCTATAAAACACTGAAATTTAATAAAGGAAATTTAAGTGAGTGTGTGTTGTAAGTTCATTAAAGACAGTGAATAGCAAAATTACTGCGTTATTTCTATACAGTCATATGCAAAGATTTGTGCCCCCCCCCCAAGTCAAATGACATATTTTGTTGATTTCTGTGTGAAAATAAGTTTTGGTGGTGGATCATTCTCAGCACTGCAGTAACACTGATGTGGTGGTGGTGTGTTAGTGTGTGTTGTGCTGGTACGAGTGGATCAGACAAAAATCCAGCCAACAGCGTCCTGTGGGCAGCATCCTGTGACCACTGATGAAGGACTAGAGGATGACCGACACAAACTGTGCAGCAGCAGATGAGCTATCGTCTCTGACTTTACATCTACAAGGTGGACTGACAAGGTAGGAGAGTCTAATAGAGTGGACAGTGAGTGGACACAGTGTTTAAAAACTCCAGCAGCACTGCTGAGACTGATCCACTCAGACCAGCACAACACACACTAACACACCACCACCACGTCAGTGTCACTGCAGTGCTGAGAATGATCCACCACCCAAATAGTACCTGCTCTGTGAGGGTCCATGGGGGTCCTGACCCCTGACATTGTGCACTAAAAATGCCATTTTCACTGTCTTCTCTGTAGAGGACGTGTTAAATAATTTTCACTTAGAAAATCAGGGTGTGTTCAAATGTTGATTATGACTACATTCTGCAAGAGGCTTTTTCTATTTTAATGTTTCCTTGTTCACTGATTGTATTATGGATGCACAATCAGAACTGGCCAAGATTGAAATCAGCAGATTTTTGCCCCAAACACTTATTCATTGTTTTGATTCTGGCCAATCTGTGATGTAATAATATGAGGTAAAGACGTTGAGGCAGGTAAGTCCCCTCACACGGTGTTTGAATGTTGCTGTTACATCTTTACCAAATTGTTATAGCATAATTATAAATGACTTGTGCAAAATAGCCAGTTACCTCTTAGCAGGGCTCAATCTGAGATGAGATACAACCAAACAGACCCCCACACCCGGCCTCTCCATCCTCTTTGGAACACTTAAAGGGCACATATTTCCCTTAAGGTCCACTTATAAATTCTGTGTAGTTTAATGTACCAAAAACAATCAACAACGGTTTGTTTTATATGACCATTTTCCAGCCTCTCTTTATCCCCTACAGTTAAACAGGCTTTAACAAAATAGAAAAATAAATGGAAAAATAAAGCTATTTACAAAGTATATATAGTTTAGAGGATTTCTTCTAAATTCCTACTCTTTAATACAACAATATTCTCACTGGGTGGCCCATAATATCACCCTCTCTCTACCCTTGAGGAATGAGAGACTAACCTCTTTTGTATCCTTCCCCCAGTGGGTAAGTTAAGCAGCATAAACCATTCGAGAGTAAAAAGGGAGGAAGACAGACATCACAACCACTGTCTTTTAACGTATATCTTCCATATATACGCAACACATAAAAGGCATCAATCAGGTCACAAACATTAAACCACGTGCAGAAAACATCGACTGTCAAAGAAAAGAAAAGAAAGAAAGTAGCAAAATACCCAACATGGACCAATCCACATGGTCCACACTGGGCATGCCCCAACTTGCCCTAGGACTGCACTGATAGAAAAAAAGGTTCTGTACAGGGACATCAAGGTACAAACAATGTAAATGTTCCCTCAAAGGTACAACAGTGGTTTTAAGGTCTGATTGTGAACCTTAAATAAGTTTCTCCAGGTGAAAAGTTCATATTTGTATCTTTTCATAACCGAATGATTTAAAGCAGAACAGTAAAATAAAAGCCTGGAGACGAGACGGGGTGTGTGGAGTCAGTACAGCTTAGAACATATCATTTCAGTGGATTATGGTTCAGTTATGTTCCCTGACTGAAGGTACTGAGATCCGTGATGTCTTACCTCTCACCCCTCTCACCCTGGACACCACCTGTTCCAGCTCCTTCCCTCAGGCCGGCGCTTCAGCCAGATGAGGATCAGGACATCCAGGCTACAAATGAGCTTCTTCCCTCAAGCCATCACTCTCTAAAACAGTTAAAATATTACACAAAAACAATATTCCAGCTTCAAACTGCACTTCATAAATACTGGTATATAGTATCTAATTCAACTCAATTAGAACTGCCGCCTCAAACCAGTGTTTATTCTAGCATCTTACTTACCTGCCTTATTACCCCACTTATCGGACTGTTACCTCACTTACCTGCCTTATTACCCCACTTATCTTGACTGTTACCCCACTTATCGGACTGTTACCCCACTTACCTGCCTTATTACCCCACTTATCTTGACTGTTACCCCACTTACCTGCCTTATTACCCCACTTATCTTGACTGTTACCCCACTTACCTGCCTTATTACCCCACTTATCAGACGGTTACCTCACTTACCTGCCTTATTACCCCACTTATCTTGACTGTTACCCCACTTACCTGCCTTATTACCCCACTTATCGGACCGTTATCTCACTTACCTGCCTTATTACCCCACTTATCTTGACTGTTACCCCACTTACCTGCCTTATTACCCCACTTATCTTGACTGTTACCCCACTTACCTGCCTTATAACCCCACTTATCGGACTGTTACCTCACCGATCCCTTTCTCTGCCACCATACACCCTTTAACTGCTGCTGCACTCAGCACTTTAACTTTAGACCCATACTTTGCACAATGTAAGGTTTACAGGTATGACTGTGTGTGTGTGTGTGTGTGTGTGTGTGTGTGTGTGTGTGTGTGTGTGTGTGTGTGTGTGTGTTTGTGTTTGAGTGAGTGATGGTAGGAATGCATGTCTTATTTTATTTTTAATTAATTTTGTTATATTTTATATTTATTTTATTTTATTCACTACATGTGAATGTCTGTCTGGTACTGTGCACTGTGAGCTCCTGTAACCAAAACCAAACTCCTTGCATGCGTAAGCATAACTGGCCAATAAAGCTTGATTCTGAATTCTGAATTCAGGATGAAGGACCTCATACGTCACAGGACTGTGCTTCCTCAAAGCTTCAAATGGCCCTTGCCATTTAGCCAGGAGTTTGTTTGTGTATGTTGGAAGTAGAAGGAGGACTTTCTGACCTGACTTAAACTCTCTAATTCGAGTCTTCAAGTCATACCAACTCTTCTGCTTTATTTGGGCTTCCTCCAGATGCTGACGGGCCTCGTCCCTGTATGACTCCAGGCGGTCTCTCATTTGCAAGATGCAACTGAAATAAGTAGGTTGTTTAGGAGAAAGCGTTGCTAAAACAGAGACAGAATGTGTGTGTGTAGTGTGTAAGACAGCAACATGACAAATAAGACTAAGTATTAGTCTGGCAGACCATTTAACCATTTAACCACTGGTTAACTTTAAATGTAGCTCTTTGGGTTGCTTCATAAAATGTTGACCTAAATGATATGAGAGCACGACGTCAGACTGATTTGTGTGGAGAATTCCAGCCAGACCGCGCTAAGACTGAACTGTGAAGCGTCCGAGTCTGGAGCTGTTTTTCTTACAACAGATCTCTGAAGTTGTGCTGTCATTCTGTTGTTGGAGTTATGCCCACATGAGGAACTCAACTGTTTTTCTGTTTGACAGAAATGAATGTCGTTTTGGAAGATCTTGTCCTGTAGTGAACAAAAATGTTCCAAATTCAATGCGTTTTGCTGTACAGACATGTTTCCTCCAAACGCCACTGGATCCTCTGAACTAGGAGGTTGTTAAGACGCAAGCTAACACTGCTGCACTCTGAACTGACATCATAAGAGTGATGACTTCACCAAAATACCCCAGCAGCTCTGTCAGATGTGGTAGCTTATGTTCACGCAAT